GGGGGCTTGGTTTTGCAAAGACTAATATGAACGTATTTGTGCTTCAGTTTCAACAAGACGAGCGCGCTGCGGTGTTTGCACATCATAAACGCAACATGACGGCAGCCGCCTTGTTGACTTGGACTATCAGTGCGTTGTGGCCGTGTCATACGTTGTCATTGTGCTGTAAAATTAATCATCTGCATCAAAAGCATACTTTAATACTTCCTCCAAATCGTGTGTACTTATGTATAGGTACAGATGCTTGTTCATGAAAACAACTATTTTCTCTACTGCGTACTTGATTCCAGTGCGTCCGTACCTCAAATCAAATTTTCCTTTTCGTTTTTTTACCGGGTCGGCATGGAAGAGGGTCTCGCCCAGCTTGTCGGTGAAATTCAGGTTTGGCAACCACCGCGATGACCCACGGACGGACTCCCGTAGACGGACGGCAGCCTCGCAACACTTTGGAATTGGGATCAGCACAACTTTTGAGTAGAAGATCAAGATTAGAGGGACGGCCCCGGCCTGTCATAGTGAATGTTACAGAGAGAAATGGCGACGTGTTGGATATTTGAAAAATAGAGGTAGACATAAAAGTACAATGGAATAATAATCATGTTTCTTTTTGCATTTCTTTCACGCCGAGAGCTAGCTCGCGTTGCCTGGACTTTTATGTCATCAAAACAACAACGTGACACATTGGTCAATAGGAAAAGGAATGCTTCTCTGGATCTGTCGCTTCTTTGTTCTTAATGCTGCATGGTTCACATTCCTTCATGTCCACGTTTCGACACGATGTCAGGCAACAAATTATAGACCAAAGTCAACCACAGATACCTCAGAGCCTTTGCGCTTTTGTTTGACATAAGAGACGTTCCAGCCATGTCGCCGATTGTCTCTCCCCCCACCCTACGCTGTCTCTGTCCAGCCAAGCGGGATTACCCGGAGGGCCCATCGATCAGCCACCCGGCAGCAAATCTTTCGGCGCTGACTCCATGGATATTGATCAACTCTCGCCACTTTATATTTTTATGAACAAAGCAAACAACCTGTTGTTGGAGATTAGCCGGCCCTTTCTGGTGTGCTATCTCATCGGAAGCGGGGCGGCGCTCGCGTCCACCGTGTTTGGTTTGTGCATGGAAGAGGCCCTCGCGTCAGGCAGGTAGGAGACGACTGCACTGCTGGGAAATAACAAAAACAACACAACAAATGGGTCGAAAGAATACCGTCCATGCCGATGAGTGAATTCCCACTGGCCAAGTATGGCGGCTGTGGGCAGTATGGCCAAGTTGACGTCACAATGCTTACTGGACTGTGATTCATTAAGCTTGCGGTGGGGGGGCAAGTTACGGCATTATTGATGCGTCATTGCTTTTCTGTCCATGAGCTCGTCGGGTTTAGTCGATGGCCAATGAAAAGCAGGTGCTCTATCTGGAACGTTGGGATTCATTTTCTTCGGGGGGGGGGGGGGAACAAGGTGACAAGAACATTATTTTGTTGATCATGAAACGCGTGTCGTTTTTTTTTTTTTTGGGATTCAAAACATGGATTAAAATGAGCTCTCTTTGTGAAGTGAAAAGTATGTACTGTATCTCTAAATGGGCCCTCTAAAAAAAAAAAAAATGACAAATTGTAATTGTCCAATATCAAGGATGGACATCCAGAGTTTATTTTCATATGTAGATTTTTTTTTTTAAATGAAAAATTACAAATGCGTGCCTCCATTTGGTCTAGCAAAAATGACTTTTGTTGAATGAAACGTACTTCCCTCCAGATTTGGTTCGTTTTATCAATAAATACCGAAGAAAATTACTTTTGAGAATGAAAAGGATGTGCCATGACATGCTTGGACTTATTTTTTAGATATCACCACATCCCGCAAAAAAGACACTCAACATAAACATTTATGTCCTCATTTGAGTCTTCTTTTTTTTTTTAGAGTATGACAACATTCCTGTTTTTTTGTTTTTTTCTAATCATCCGACAGACAATTTTTTATTCTTGGTCAAGTGTAAAAGTTATTGCGCTTACTTATCCACAAGGTGAGTCATATTTAAATTCCTGTGACGTAGAAAACATACAACTTTCCTTTAATTCCATTCATGTATCGACGACTGTAATCATTCATCATCTCCAAAAATGTAAAATTCCAATTTTAGCTTTCAATCAAATCTAAACAGCAACAACCGGCCTCCGCCCGTTTGGCTTTGCTTTGCTCATGACACTCACGTCATCTCCACTGTTGTGCTTTTGAAAACATTCTGAACGGACTTTTTTTTTTTTTTGCCAAATTAGAACCATGCGTCCAGTATGTTGCTTTTTCTTTCCTCTTTAACTTTTGACTTGACTTTTTAACACCTACTTTTCATTGCAGACTGACGACTTACAAAAAAAGTACAAAATGAATTCATCATCATTCTCAAGCCTTTGAAAAAGACCCCCCCAAAAAAAGAGGCTCTTTGTTCTTGTGCTAATTGCGCCACAAGTGGGATTCGGCTACGCCTCGCGAGAGCTTCCAGTCGACTTTGAAATCAAAACAAAAAGATTCCAGTTAAGGTCAGTGAGCCGAGGAGATGACTCACGGCCGCCGGATTCGTCGGGATGAGGTCGTGATCAGCCGAGGTTCCGCAGCGCACGTCGACATTTAAGTTGCCCGGTGGGAATTTCACAAAGTCTTTTTCATCATCGACAGTCGACAATTGCGCAGGAAATGCCTGAGAACTTCCCTTCCGTCCGATCCCCCCCGCGCCTTTTTCCCAATTTCCACATTGCCTACACGGATGACTTTGCTTGTAAAGCCGCCACAACGCGACATCCGGTCGGTGTGGGAGGCCAACCAACGCCAGTTCCGCATGGAATTTATTAGCCGTGTGCTGTGGGAGGTCTGCCTTTTTACCGACTTTTCATGCACTCTGGAGACTCCTTAACTCGGGACACCTGCGCACCTTTGGGGATTTGACATTTTCAATGTGAAAGGGGAATATTGGCAAGTAAAAGGGTGACAACGTATCCTCTTTAGTTTCTCTGCTTCTTTTCTTTCACCTTCAGCATTTTTACGGAAACGTGTATGAGTAGACCGAAAGCGAACGGTCCGCAGACCGGGACTGGGGGTTCTGCATTGAAACATTTTTTGAGCCCTTTCAAAAGCGACTCGCCATCCTCCCGTGAAGCTCTGAGCTGGGGGACCGAGCGGCTGTGACGGAGATGCGGCTGCCCCTCGGAGCCTCCGTTGACTTCTTGCTACTTCGAATAATGTCTGGTCCGCAGACCTGAGGCAGATGTGGAGGGGCGGATAAGCTCAGAGAGGTCGGGTGGTGCCGGGTCATTTCAAGATTTGAAAACAAATAAGAGGGTCTTAAAAAGAACTCGGAACTGTAGAGGGAGCCAGTGAAGGGATGCCAGAGTAGGAGTTGTGTGCTCATGCTCATCATCGTTTTCTTACATCACATGACAGCGATTCTTAGGTTGTGTGTGTCATGTGTACTTCTGTCAGTGTTTTGAAACATGATATATTTAAAAAAAAAAGGGGGGGTGGGGGGCTATGACTTTTCCCTCCTCACGTGATGCATTTTGTGCAAGTGCCCTCAGACTTTGGAATGCATCCTTGGCAAGGGTGCATCAGAATGAAAACTAACAGCAACCTGTCAAAAAGCTGTTTCTCTTCCTCCATCTTTCTCCGGCGAGCAAAATACTTGCAGCGCACCGCAGGACTCCGAGCTTTGAGGTTAAATGCTCTTTAAAAGTGTCTAATTGGCTCGAGAGACATGAACCTCTCACAAATTGGACTCATAAAAGGCAAATGTCCAGCGAGACCTGGCGAAGGCCACTCGCCACGGCTATAATGCGGCGCGTAAGTAAACACGCTAAATAATGCAAACATCGAGTAAAGTACTTGTCACAGCCGTGGCATCTCCGAGGACCGTTTGAGCAGAAGGTTGCAGTCTTTTGGAAGGTGCGTGCGTGCATGCGGCTCAGCGTGAACATGTCACGGAGAACATTGCATACAGCCCGCCCATCTGTTAGCGCGCTATAAGAATATCGCTAGGTGTGGAGTATAAAGGAGCTGCGGGCACACCGTGTTGGTCTCATGATTTCACGCAGCACACACGTCTCCATTCACCCAGCCCCACCGCCCCAATAACACATCAACTATAGCTGTCGAAATGAGTTGGTATGTGTGTGTGCGTGTGCGCGCATGTGTGCGTGTAAAAAATGGTTACAATGTTACATGACTCACATTTAATTATGACTAGTTTAAAGTCAGCTGACTTGCATATTATGGCCGTTTTTTTGTTGTTTTTTTTGACGCTTACTCATGACAATTCCATTTTTCATGATTGGACTCAATTGGAGCTTTGGGTCACAAAAATACAAGCTTTTTGTGCAAGCTGTTTGACTTGAGCGATCACGTTTTGCAACGAGAGCATTCTTGTCTCATCGCCAAGCTGCTTTCTTTGAGGGAGGGGTTTTGTTGTTTTTAGTCGTCATCTTCAACCTTGTAAGATGTATTTCAAAGCGAGTCTCTGAATTCACTTTTCGGGGGCTTTAAAATGAACCGGAATGTTCGGTCTTGATTTATCCAGTGTATTATTCGATCTGAAAGAAGCCCCGGTCGGTCCTCCATCAGAGGACGGGAGCATCCTCTAGTCGTGCATCCTTGACGACAACCAAACACGCCCACATCCAATCCATAAGGATATGTTTACACTTCCAATCAAGCACGGCCACGGACGGACGGCCGCACGCACGCATGCATGCACGCGCGCACTCGTTGTGACGACGGCTGCCAAAATGATGGAGAGGTGCAGCTACAGCGATGGCGCAAGGAGCTCTCGAGACCAATGAATACATTCTCGAGTGCGTTGAGCGGAGAGCGCTGGCTGCGCGCGGAGGGCCCGACAACACGCACGCAGCAAAATGATCAAGCCATTTCCATGCACATGCGTGTGCGGCAAAGCTGCTGCATGTCTGAGAATAATAAAAGAGGATGACACAGTGTCCGGAAACAGATTGAAATCCCGTGGATTAATCCTTTCCTTTTCGCTTCGTCTTCCCCGAGACGGTAACGCGTGAGCGTCACTATATTAAAATGAAGACAAAGTGGCGCGTGTGATTAGAAGAGCTCCGTAGTCATTTGCACAGGTGGAAATTAGTCGTGGGCTTTCCTGAGTGACTTTAATGCAATATTTTCCCAAGTTTGAGATCCCAACAATGATGTTGGATGCCCACCTGCACTGTTGGCTTCATCTTAGTTTTTCCTCATGACTCGCCAACGTTCCTCGGTGGGACTTTTCCCTTCTCTCCATTTGGCTTTTGCAGCCTTTCAACATATTTTACAGCCGTTTGGAATCCGGGGTCGTCAAAAGTAAAGCCCGTGGGCAAGGACCGAGCGCTCGGAGGTACAAAACATGAACAGCAATGACAAAAATAAAGTTTGACATGAAAAGAGGAGCTTTTTGCGACATTTGTCACCACTGCCATCTACTGCAGTGGATGTGCTATTACACTTGCATGTGCCCTGAGGTCACACACACTGCCCCTGAGGCATAGCGCCCCCTCCCACCCCACTATTTGAGAAGGACACTTCTCAAGTGAAGGGTGTAGTTCGTCAAGGAGAGGTCTCAAGGGTCCTCCAAGCAATCGCTCAGCAATTAAGGCCGAAACCTTCGCGGTCGTACAATTCCGAACTCCCGCCGAGGGTCAATACTATCGACTAGCCTTAATTAAGTGGACGCCTCAGCAGCTTTCAGCGGGTGGGAGGCCCTCCCGCTGATATCCACAGGTACCCCACATTACGCGGCCGTTTCTTATTTTGTGTGTGTGTCACTAGTGTTCAATTTGCAAGTGTTCACATGATTGCGGCGATTCAACATTCTCGTCTTTCTGCACGCGTATGCTGCGCAAGGCTTTTTTACAATCACCTTCCTTTTCCCACTTTCATATCCCCCCCCAGTCTAATATTTACTATGTCGCGCAGCCACATAATTGCCTCACGCACATATAAAGGCATTGCAGCGCACGTGGGAGCAGTGAGGTGTTGGGACGGAGAAAGCTTATTGATCATATATTATTTGGAGCTTGTGTAAAAGGGCACGGTTTAGTTACAGTTGCTGCGAGCGAGCGCACCTCTCGAGAGGTCTCGCCCGTTTGCGTGCACACTGCACTTTCCCTGAAGCTCGGCGGGCCCTGCCAGCGTTCCCGGTGACGAACGGCGCTCTAGGTGCCGCGTAACCTCTGCTTCGTTGACAGCTAGTTAGCCGAGACGTACAACCGAGCGCCGGCCGCACACCGCGTCCCGCCAAACATGCCCAATTAGCAAGCTGAACGCAAGTCGCTGCGTGTCCTGCATTGTCGCTGCAATAAATGAAGGCAATTCATTGGGCACACCTGCGCCATCACATTATAGGCCTTTCCAAGATGATTTTATTCCTATCCCGAATTTCGTCTTTTTTTCGGCGCATACAGTACAGCCATCCATTCGTTTTGCATCACACTTGTCCTCATTAGGCTTGCCGGTAACAGCAGAATGTCCCAGCTGACTTTGGGGGAGACCCTACACCCAAACCTTTCCTGCTTCATCACTACACTGGGGGGGCTTGAGCGCTGTCAGAAATCCAGCTGAAGCCCTTCAATAGTTTTTGATATTTTACAATATGTTATATATGTGAATTCTTTTTCTTTTGGTGTGCCTATTCTGGTGGCCGGTTGTGTGTGCGTTTTGCTCCTAGAAAGCAGAGCGCAAGTGGAGTCAGCGGCTGACGAAGAGGCGCGAGCGTGTGCATGTGAATCTCTTTTGCATCCAATTAGGCTGATGAGGCTTCATTAGGCGGCTGTGCCTCCCAATTAAAAGGCTTTTTTCACGCGGGGCGCGGCGCGAGGACGGCCTTGCGGACACGACGGACGAGACCGTGCTTCAAATGGTTGTCTGTCAAGCATGCAAATAAAAACAAAACAAAGAAAAAGGAAAAAGGGCGATGGCTTCCACCGCTCTCGGAACGCGTCGTTGCATCTCGCCGTCGCCTCGAGATGCGGTCTTGGCGCTGAATTATAAATGAAAGCGTGGCGTGGATGCGCATGGGCTCCTGTCCTCGCAACGACTTTGTTGGGTCATTTTGGTGGGCAAAGCTTGACATTGATTCTTTCGCAAAGGCACCGAAATGACTTTGAATCAACGCGCGGTGATTCCATCCCAAGAAGTGAATGAGAAAACACCGAAGCACAGGCAAGAATGTTATCCTTCCATTTTTCTGCTCTCCTACTTGCCCGCTGCCGTCGATGTGAGCGCGAATGGTTGTTTGTCCAAGTGCCCGACCCGTCCAGAGCGTACGCCGCCTGTCGCCCACAGTGCCGAGAGTCTGCGGTGTGTAATTAAAGCCGAGTGATGGTCCGATGGCGGGCTGCGACTGTGACGGAACATCACCGCTGCTCTGTTTCGCCTTATTTGAATCGGCCCTCTTCAAAAGCGTCTCACACCTACGCGGCTGCATAAATTAGCGTCCGTCATCTGCTCGTCTCCGGGCTCGTTTCGCAAAACACCGCAGCGGGCCCTTTAATGACTTTGGAACGCAACTCTCCCGCTCTGCCGCGGGATCGTTCATGAGGCCCGAGTGAGGGTTGCCAGCCGTTTGGCCTACTGAGAGCAGCGTGCGTGCGTGCGCGAAAGCAGAATGCACCACTAAAGTTGCCGATACGCGATAGCAAGTGATGCCAAAGAACGGGCCGTTCGCATATCTGAGCAGCCATCCATCGCCTTGTCAAGGTCCGTTTTGGGGAGGAATATCTCCGTTTAGGGTGTGACGCTCTGAATCCCAATGACAGGTTACCAAATCCCAACCGCCTCCTCTGATGGATGCTTTGAGTGCGGCAGCACAGTGATGAAGAGATAAATACAGTGCTCAACATAAATGAGGACAAGCCCTTTGAAAAGTTCGTTTTCTGTCAGTAACTATTGAGAAGTGGCGAGGTTGACAGACAGCCGGATGGACAGAATGAGTAAAAAGACCTCAAGGAGATGCGTGCCCCACAAACGTGACATATTAACGATCATCTTTCTTGATCTGCCGCAACGTGCTCATGAGTACCTTTAGCCACGTTGCAGAGAAATGGCCTCGTTGTGGATGTAGAACAAGTCCTAGCTCTTCGAAACAAAAGTGTTGCCCTCTCGACTGATAATGTGCATCGATACGCAAAGACAACGGTCAAAACTGATCAGTAAGCTACGGTTATATCCGTCAATAGATGATTGACATACTGTAGGTAGGTGGATGGAGGGATGACAGATATACTGTAAATGCCGAGTCGGTAATTTCATCTGCTTTTGGCTATCTACACATTGTTAGCTAGCAGGCTACTTCCTGGTTCGCGCAGACTGACTCAAGATGGACTGCACTTTACCGTTCTGTGTCCTCGTTGAACAATTCCCCCATCCACCCACGACTATGGAGATAGATACATATGATTTATATATGTATATCATAATTCATAATCCTGCTCAAGAGGAAACGGACAACCAGTGCTGAATAGAGCGGCCCTTGCCTTTACATCAGCTTGCGCCATAGCTTGGTTGGAAAACTAAATGAGCCTAATTAGGGATGACACAAAAATTCGATACGCTGTTGCCCCCCCACCCCCACCCCCACACACTCAGTATGCACCCTGTGACTGTGTGTGTCTGAATTTTGATGAAAATGTTTTATTTGCGTCTGGCTAAGCAGATGGGGACTGGAGAGTGTGAGTCTCCCGAGCACCTGTTCCCATATTAAAAATCTTTGAGGACGTCTGGTGCGTCTTTCGCTCAAGTTCAAAACCATCCAAAATGCGGAATGCGCAAGCCTGAGTAGTTTTGTGCGTGGCGACATCAGCTGCGCTACGGTGTCCATCTCCTAAATAAGACAGAGCCTCGGGGGGGGGCATGAGACTCCAAAGAATGACGCACTCTCTCCGCTATGTGATGAGCAAATGATGACTATTATTATTTTGTCGAGTCATGCTTTTGGTACTCCAACCTGGTCAGCGGTCTATAGGACGGTTATCAAAATATAGGAGATGACGTCAAGAGGACAACAGCAAATAGGCAAGGACGGACAGTTAATTAGGTGCGCGATCCACTGATCCTCATTTCATTTACAGAGCTCATATTATTTATCCTTACTTTTTAAACTTATTCAATGTGCTATTTTCCAAATGTCTTTTCTTACATATATATTTAAAACCCTTTTTTTTTTTTTTTTTTTACACAAAATGTAATACTGTACTTCAGACTGCGTGTGATCTATTATGCTCACTCGGAATGCGATAAACTTGATTTATTCGACACGATATTATTTATTACTTTGCTGCTGACAACTACCAGTGATCTATTTTTGAAACAGAGCACGGCGTACGACCACAGCTCGCTTTGTTGTTTTCATGAGATTTGCACTCGGTAGCCATTTTGAAAAAGTAAAATTTGCGGGAAATATGCAAGGCCATAGGATTGAACTCTCTGTACAAAATGATGTTCCACCAAAACGGGGTCGATGGGTGATCTTCACCATATTCTTCCTCCTCTGATGCGCCAGCTTGACATTTTCGGGTGGGAAATTGTATTTTTGGCATAAACATTTTATCGGCCCTACTTTTTTAGTGGTTTATACGTCAAAATGGGTGTTTGAAGACTTACATGGCCCTGAATGTCTATTTTGTATTTGCCAGATTGATCACTACCATCTGGGTTTTTCATGTTCTTTATTCATGATGACCCTCAGAATAGGGGGGGAACCCAATAAATGATCTTTACTTGACATTTTTAATGAGAATGTCTCCATTGTGAGACAAACAAAGGTTTTCTTATCTTATATCTTATCTTTGCAGTTGCCACCGCGCACTTTTCTTTTACGCCGGCCTATTTGTTCCTTCTGCCTGGATTCTACTTAGTATGCATAGTTGCTCTATGCACTCACAAATGGGGGGGGGACATCTTTCTCATCTTTGTCGCAGACAAGCGCGCACGGTCTTTGTTTACGTTTTTCAAGTTGCGACGACGCACTCATTCTGCACTTTAATGGGGTGCCCCGATTTAATTGCATGATTTGCCGGATTAATGCCCGCTGGCCCACATCGCAGGATAATCGCTTTGAATAATCTTTGACGCAGCGGCTCTCAAAGGTTTTCCACCAAATACCATCTGATATTAATATTTAACTCTCCCGGTACCACTGTAATTGGCCATATTTGAATACAGTCAAGTCGTAGGACTAAGTGCTCATTTCAAAAAATCAAAAGGCAGAGGTTTTGAGTTTTTGAACATTTGGAGATGGCCGAATTTTTCGACATGATATGTGTTTATTTATGTATCTCCCTGGCCATTCTTGTCATTAGCTTAGCATTTAGCCAAGTGGCTTTTGTCAGATGAGTCGCCTGCCTTTTTTTTTTTTGCCTTAGCGGGATTCAAATGTGGGATTGACAACGTTATACGCGTCATAACGATGCGGGAGGGTGACATATTTTTGATACGGTATGTCTACATCAAGGTCACTCTACTTAACACAGCAGTGACGACAAGAATATTTTTGACAGTGTCAGTCAATACTGAGTAAAGGGTCCATTTTTGTTAAGCGGCTTTCACGCAATCAACATCGCAAAGAGCTGATGATTATCTGATTAGGTTGTGCCCATGGCAAACTCCCAACACCGCGCCGCCGCTTCACGGGGCCCGGTCGAAGCCGTGAGTAATCATTCTGCGCACAGTTGCATTGTGGGAACTCGCCGCGGAAAGGACGCATTGTCGAGTGCTTTACTCACATCCGAAGGCAGCATCGAGCTCAACTCCAATATTCATCATGACGCCGAGGTCTCGGTGCCACTCACCCTCTATTTACGTCCGCCTCGGAACGTCTCTCCGGTCTTCATTACGCATTTTATTCCTGACGTATTTCAACAGAGGCGCAGATGAAGACGCTGGGAATAAAGGGAGAGCAAATGAAGGGAGATGAGAGAGACGCGTGGCGAATGACAGCCGACGCGATTACTTCCGCACGCTGCGCGGGCCTGATGGTCTTTTCAAAGCGCAGACATATCGGATGCGGAAAACACGCGCGGCGGGCTCACCGAGTGATGTGAAATGTCTTGAACGGGCATCGCCGCGCTGCTGTCTGGGATGCCCGAGTCGCTGAGGGAGACATTAAAGCTGTTCAAACGGCTTGCAAATCAACAGCAAACGGGTTGTCGGTGTCAAGCGCCTCCCGTCTGGCCTCTTTCAAGGGCCATCACTCACCAAAGGGATCGGGCGACATCGGACCGCCGTCGACTTTCTGCATTTCAAATGAGGCCCGCTTCAATATTGATGACTCTTCACGCCGCGCACGACTCATGTCGGCTTTTGAGACTCGGAGGGGGCCGTCTCGAAGTCTGTCGTGAGTGTCTTCAACATTTCTCTTGGAGTTGCCACGATGCATGCACGGAGAGCGAACACTGTTTGGATGTACTTTTCCCTCTGCCACGTGCTCTGAACACGTTAGAATTTCTTATAACACGGGGTTACACAGAAAACAAAGAAAATGACATTATATATATTGAAAGAACAATGCTCCACTGCCTTAGGAATCTCCGCTAGCTCCACGCCAACATCATGCCAAACAAACACCAGGAGCAACGCAACTGCCATCGCCGTCTCGGTAACGTAACCCTTCAGAATTATGGAAGACTGAACACAAACGGTGCAGCAACATGTGTTATGACTGCAGCTAACTGAGGAGCTGTGACGTCTTCTTTGTGTACAACTGCACATCCATATTTATGTATTACATAATCAATCATACAATCTATATCAGTCACAACGCACACATACTGAGGGAATTATTTATATCCTATTCAATTGTCTTCTAACTGTCTAGTTTTAGAAAGTACAACCGTGTCGATTCGTATTTTACTCATTGAAAAGTGCATTCCTACACATTTTAAGTTTGGCGTGAGTCGGAACAGAGTCGGAGGATTTCCATTCACCATAGACGGACGGGCAAACCGCAGTTATTATTATACCCGTCTGACCAGATGGCATGAAATGTACATGTATTACAATGGACATCCATTCATTAAAATGGCTGCCACTTTCGCCGACCGAGCGACTAAAACACATCGCTTTCATTTCAGAAGACTGAGCGGCCGCTTGTCACTAAATCAATGAGGGATCTTTAAGGCCGGCGGCGCCTGCTTGGCCGTGTTTAACTGATATTGATGGAATCATTATCCCAGCGGCAAAAGTGGGCTTTATCTCATTATTAGACGGCATTTTAAATGTTGAGCACACACACACACACACACACAAGCGCGCGGCTCGCCAATCATTGACAGCGCCGCTCCATGCCACCATGCCGGCTACATAACAATGGCTCAGAACTTCACAAAGACAGGATTGCTTGTAATGAACCTAAATGTTGAGGCCACTTGGACTTGAGATGGATTGAAGTGATTCAAACTTGCTTGATTAGAGGGTTACCGCCTTCCGTCTCCTCTGGGGTAGGTCAAATACATACTCGATAAAGTTTAAGTCTAGAGATTGACTTGACCGGTATAAAGAACATTTCTGCGTCGAGCCCCTGATGAGCTGCTTTGTTGATTTGGAAGGACTTGCCTCTAACCCATGTAGACAGATCATACAATAATGCATGCACATTTTCTTTATCCTCAGCATCAAACGACTGACATTACTGCAGCTTACTCCATTGCGGCAAAAATGGGTCCATTCTTTATTTCTTATTGAATGATGCCATTCCTGCATGTTTTCATCGTGTACATTACAGAGTGTTATTTTATTGAAAAAAACATTTAAAAAAAGGGGGGGGGGTTGTTGTATTAATGGTGTCTTAATAACTTGAACAAATGGATGTGACTCAAAAGTAGCTGTAGGGACAAGTCCTTGCATCTTTGGGGTCCCACTTAGCTCCCCTTGAGCAAGAAGGAGAAAAACGCACACTTTGCTGTCGTCAACGTGTCCGTTCAAACATTCCATTCTATCGATGAGTGGGCGGTAAAAGCTGCGAGGAACACAAGGAGCACACGTTTCAAGGACGTCAGGGGGCAGGGGATGTAATCTCGCCTGTTTGCGCGCTGACCTTTTTCCACACTGCAGCGATTTGGGGAATATGTTAAGGAGAGTCTGAGTCCCTACGGCTGTTTCCGTTGCAGACCAACAGACATGAAGAAATTAGCATATGGACAGCAGAATTCCTGTTACATTGCGGGGATGAGGAATGACTAGTTGACTGTATAAATTACATTCAGTCACTATTTTGAGTTTATGTCAGCGAATGACAATCTGTGCTGTTGACAAAGTGTTATGTAGCTTCAAAAACCCTACCGGTAGCCCCCCCCCCACCGAGATCACATTTCATTCCTACATCTCACTGATTAAAACGTACCTCGAAATTGGTTGAGCGGGGCTGTCAGCATCTGTTGAACGTAACTGATAAAGTAACTCGTAACCTAACATGGTTGCTTTTAGAATCAAGTCGTCATTGACTTGGCTTATGTAAATTACTTGCTACTAACTAGCTATTAAGCACAGGGCAAAAATGTAAACCCAAACACTTTCTTAAGATTGAACTTTCCATCTTAGCAGCCCGTACTTCCTGTTTGTGGTTTTGCCAAGCATGACCGCTCACAAGATGCATTCGGTGTAGTACACGTACCGCTCAGGATGGACCAACAGCTAATTTGCGAGGGGGGCAGCAAAGGTCAACGAGCACCGCCATGGCTTCCAATTCTACCCACCATGCATCTGTCACTTTTGATCAATGCACTCGCGGGCTACTCGGTTCGCGAGTTGCGCTACATTACGTGTACGCGCGTCGAACAGACTGATGCGTCGTGACGAGGTGGAGATGCCGGTCAGCAAAGACGATGTTCGGGGTTCAAAGGCCGTCGTGAAAATACGAGGGATGTTATTGGTGAAGCCCTCCCCCTCCTACACGGCGCAGTTGCCATGACGCACCCTGAAAGCAAGAGCCATGTGAGGTTCCAACTCATCTGTGGAGGGATAATGTGATCGCATAATGACACGCGTCCCCCACTTCCGCTACAACATAAAAACTTCGAGGAGCGCCTGTCTCCAAGAGGGAAAGCGTGACTCAGCGATTGTACAAGACCCATTATTAGGTGCACTTGAGAATTGTACAACTAACTCCGACAATACTGCACTTTGTATAGATTTTGGCCTGTTTTATTGTCGCTTCTCCGTTCTCACAAAGTCACTTGTGATCAAGACTTACAGATTGCAAAAACTTGTATTAAAACTCATTTTTGCAAACAGCTTTTACAAATTGTAGATGTGCAAGTGTACCTCAAGCCACCAATGACAGAAAAGGCTTTTTTTTGCACCTCAGCCTTAGTGAGAAAAGGAAACCATTCACACAGAGTACTCGTATTGATGTCACGGATGGTGACACGGAAGGTAAATACAACTCTAAATTGGAGTCAATGTGTACTTGAAAAGTCTTTGAAGAATTTGAAATTCAAGACAGGAGCAATCCTCTCCATTTCCTCCATCTGCTTGTGCAATCTCCTCCGCTCTGAGGAATGACTCTTCACCAGAAACATGGAACAGGTCACGTTCCCAAAACTAAGGGGCTTCTCCACCAAAACCAACTCCCAAAAAAAGTGTCGGCCGATGATTTCAAGTATAAGGAAGGGATATCTTTACATGGTGACATTCACCTCCAAGATTTGAATTTCCCTTTGTGGTTTAAGCTAAACAAGTGCAGGCAGTGTACAAAGACGCAATCCCACTCCCCGCAGGTGCCTTTTGCTGCCGGTCTGCTCCTGCTAATTAGTTCCTCTGAGAGCTGCGTACATTTACACACAACTACAGATGGTGCGAGCACGCACACACACGCACGCACACACACACACACCACCTCTGCGACCACCTTTTGCTGTATGGGTGTTGAAACACACATTTGGCCGATGTGTCACTTCAAAATTCAACCTTCCACACCACCCTCACTTGCGGTCATACATTGGGGTCCACACGTTTCGATCAGCTGGTCAATGTGACAATGCTGACATCCAGCGGTAGTTTTGGAAACTACAGTACAATCATTGAGGGGGGGTGAGCAGACATTTAGCAGTTAGGGATGGCAAAAATGTGTCACGCTCTGAACTTATAGAAAGTACAGATTCTTGTATGAAGACTCTCTTCAAAGGACCTATTCAATTTGGATATTGAAGAAAATAAAAAAAGTACAGACTGAAATGTGCTTGAGCGGAAAATTGTGAGTTGCAAATTACATAGATAATTGATCACTTCGTATGATAGGAAAAAAAACATCAAATAAAGCTATAGCGAGTCAGCGACACACTCGTTTCCCTGTTAACGCCCCTGAGTTCAATCACCACCAGGGGGTGATACTGAGCCGCTGTTCGAATGCACACATCGGCCACAAAAGACAAGACCTGCTCACTAGAATGAAACCCTCGACAGTATTTCCAAAAAGTTGTACCAAATATGTTGTATGTTGTATGTTGTACCATGTTGGTGAGTTTCACTTGTCACTGTCAGATGCATTTAGTTTATTATTGTGCCTGAAGTTTGCAGTGGTATTGGACCGGACTAATAGTCACACGAACGAGTTTGCAGTCATTCCCGGAGATATTAAACGTGCGTTCAGACATATGAAGGTTTACTTCTGGAGTTGAACCAACCCAAGTAAGGACCACAATGGAAAATCTCAACCTTTCGCAATGCAATAGGTTCTTGTCAAAAAGGCACCACAACAGTCTTTGTGGTTCCGCTGGCTCATATGAAAGAACACCAATCACGCGTGTTGAAGTTAGACATACATCTTTATTTAAGTGTAAACAAAGAAACCAACAACAACAACAACAGCAAAAAAAAAAAAAAAACTGCATAGGAAATGTTTAAAGTCCAAAGAGTACAGCGCGAGCAGCAGGTGGCCAAATATATTATACAGTCTCCTTTGCCTTATTTAGACTTACATCTGCACTTCCACTCAGCACAAAGTGTGTGTGACGGACAGACAGACACAAACACTCACACACACACACACACACACACACACACACACACACACACACACACACACACACACACACACACACACACACACACCAGCCCTGATGAAGAAGCGCCAGCAGCACTCACTAAACTCGGCGGGCCACATCCAGTCGCGCTGCCTCTTGGGACTGTGAGGGGTTACATTCAGTGGAGATCTGCTTTGACAACAGATGAACAAGAAACAGCCACTCCCTCCAAGCTGCCTGCTGGACCATCACCGGTTGGACGAATGAGGGGCAAACCCCCCTCAAGCTCCATCCGGACAGATGCTGACGCTGGTTTGTGCCACCCGCCGCTACAAATATTGCTGATGTGGGAATGCGGTGGCAAGGAATACGGACTTGTGCTGCGGTCCAGCGGCAGGTTGTCGAGAGCGGGCATCGGCCGGATGCTGAACCCTTTTCTTCACAAAATACATTCTAAAAGGGCCAATGAGCATCAGATGGTGCGTGGTGTTTGAAAATGGTGTAAAAGAAACAAAGAGGAAATAATTGGGTGTTGGGGGGGTCGTTCATCAAAAGAAATATTTCGGATTTCGATTTTTTTTTATTATTATTTAAATGGACACACAAAAGAATCAGACTAACGCTAAGATCCAAAATGGGGAAAGGGTTCGTCAAAGGGGTAGGGGAGATCTACTTTTATTTCTAAAAGACACATTTCAATGACGCCAGCAGCACGCGGCTGCCGAGAACTACCTGAGATATATTTTAATTTCATTTCTAAATTTTCACCAACCATATTTTTTTTTTGTCTTTACGTTCGATTATACAATCATTAAAAAGGAGGTCTAAGACCTCGCACACATCACCCGGTGCAGCTTCAATTTTTTTTATTTATTTTTTCCTCTCAAAAGTCCCAAGAGGGCAAGAAATGAGACAGGCGGCGGGATGCGCGCACGAGTGCGCCGTCAACCCGTCACATTGTTAGCAGCCGTCACCCGACTTCCTGGATTGTCAAAAAGAGGAAGACGGCTGGCTGGCTGCCGGTTTGTGCTAGACGAGCCAAACTGGTGACCCTGTGACAAGGGGGCTCCGAGAGGCTGCCCCGTGTGAGGCGGGCAAATCAATCGATTCAGAGTGGCGAGTTTTCCAAGTTTCCGCATGTAAAGCGCCTGAGCTGCGAGGCACGCAAAAGAAGCCTCAAGATGTATGTTGGGAATCGAGGAGTTGGCTGACCGAACAGGTCAATCCCATTCTAGCGCACGCATACTCGTCTTTGGGTACATTTCCCGATCTGATCCACCTCCCAGAAAGTCAGCTTCCCGCTCGGGTTTAGCCCAACATCCACCCAAAGAAAAGACATCAATCTGATAAGGATTTCTTTCTTTTAAGCATGCAACAAAATGAATAAGTAATTAATAGGTTAAAAATATGTTTGTTTTTTTTCCTCTTAAAGAGAGAAGATCTAAGGATCTTAAAGATAGAACTCTACAATCTTAGTTTTCCGAAAAAGGATGCGGACGTGGATGAACACAGTAATACTGAAAACGCAAAAACAAGCACGACTGTTGGTATTGTTCCTCCGTGTGCTAAGTAGAAAACCTTTTCGTTCATGACGTTCATCATTGTTGGCACCGCAGTCAAGACAAGTCCCGCTGTGGGCATAAATATTGGTCAGTTGTGCTGAAAGTTGAGCAAAGTCTGTGTGTAATTCTTGTGCGGCGAGTGAGGGTTGTTTTTTTTTTTTTAACACTCCCTCCCCCCCGCTGCCCCTTTAACTAACGTACAAACGGAAATCTGCGGAGGTCGTCGTTGTGAGGTCAAAGAGAACCAGGGCCCAGCCCTCGTAAGTGCACGCCATCGGAGAGCCGCAGGATTTATCCTGCGGCCGGCCCGACTCACTCAACATTTATATATCTTCGATATCGTGGTCCAGTGGCGTTTTGTCATCAACAACAGAGCGGTCCTTGGCACACAACTCCCAGAGATCATTTTGGCACTATGTTATTGACGGAACTATTTGGTTTGGTTGGTGATTTTTTTTTTTTCGAATTAAAAAAAAATAACAACTACAAAGAAAATAGGCAATTAATCGTACAGCAAAGTCAACCTAGCGGAAAAGCTGCTCAAGGTTGCCCGATGGGGACACGCGACCGCAACAAGTTTTCAACGGTGCCACAATCTTTGGTCCTCCGGCTATGGGCCACGCGCTGTACTGCACCGGTCAAAGAATGAGGTATAAGAGTGATGTATACACATCTGATGAGGTATGTCAACACATGAAAAAATGCACAAAATCAAAAGTCAAAATGAGGTATCGAAATAGAAACTACACAAGTTTGAGGTATATGAAAGTGAACAGTAGCTACAAAGTGAGTTGAGGCATTGAGGTCCACAAGCTGACTAAACACTGAGGCTGAATGAACGTATTCCATGAGAAGGTGTCGGTCGGGATCATGTGCGGACAGGTCCTCTCTCCTCAGAGAAGAGAGCCCGTCGGTAATTCTTTCCACAGTTTTTGCTCGAACACGAAAGCCACCAACAGGACATGAATTGTCGAGTGCGTTCAAGCGGGGCACAGATTGAAAGAAGGGCGAGGAGCCAACGCCCACCCCCACCCCCACTAATTGGAGGATTTGCTCACAAGGGTATTTTCGGGGCGCGACGGATTGTTCTACATCGGATAGGTGGGTGGACTCCGAAGGGGCAGGGGACGGTTCTCTTTGGTTTTCTAAGCGGCTGGATTCAGAGAGGACATCCAAGTACTCGTGCGGTGTCAGCGGGCGGCGCTCCCAAACTCCACGAGTTACACCGGTAACGTTTCCCAGCATTGAGGATTATTGAAGAACGTGACTTTTTAAGAATATTTGAAATGCCAGTTTTTTAGTTGGCCACTGTGCAGATATTCTAACTTTGGTTGAATCTAGTAGTTGGTCGATAGACCTCCATCTTTAGAGGATTGGTCTACTAGCGCACAGGTCTGAAGGTGCTTCCTGAGACCTGAGCGTTAATAAATTGGGGTGAGCTCGGGTGGTCGCGCCCTTTCGTTGGTTCGGAAGAGGGCGCCTTTCAACCGCAGCTTACGTCCAAAGGATTGTACAGTGAAGCGCCGCGCATTCGCGGGTGGGCCTTCGCAAGGTGCCGGGGAACGCGAATGCCCCAAGCTATGTCGAAGCGAGTTTGAGCTTCATTCGGACAAACATAGTGCTTTGTCACCATCTAGTGGCGTCTAGAGGCAATTAAACCCTTTCAGGGGGGGTGTCAATTAGGCATGGATTTTCGCGACAGGGCTCAGTCCATCTCCCCCGCGAACAGGAAGCGTTCACTGTTTTGTCAAGTCTTAAGTCTATTTGATGTTCGTCCTCTGGACTCTCTACTTCGGAGGCATTTGTCAAACACTGCCTCGGGGAAAAAGGTGTCATTTAACTACGATCAAATCTCTACTTTAGGATCCCTAATAGATCCCGATCTTCGAAAAATGTATCCCCCACATCCATTTGTGGGTCCTCTCTTTTCGGAGGAGAGCAAGCGGTCCTTGCATACTCATCTTTGCATCCTAGTTGGTCATGCAGTTGACTGGACCGTAACGAAAACACAAATCCAGTCGAACAATAGGTCGAAAAATCTGGGGCACGACATTTTCGAATGTCATCACAGGCCTGATGCGCTATAGTGAACATACGAGTGAAGCTTAAAGGAGGCCTGAAAAGCGCTGATCTCTTCTAATCAGCCGACGTATTACCTGAGCTTGTTTTTTTTTTTTACATCATGTCATTGTGGCATTTTCTTCCCACGTTCTGGTTGGGCCGTAATGCCTATGCAAACTCAAGCATAGCGATGAGGGGGCAATGTCATTAGACCCCCAAAACATAAAACAAAACCCCCCCAAAAAAACATTTGCCTATAATGGAAACGATGAAGACACTGCCGTCCTGTACCCTAATTCCTTTTTAGCAAAGCCTTCCAATGACAATGAATCATGCAGCCTCAACAGCGATCTGAGTATTGTCTCAGCAACAACATTCAGGAGGTTCACTTAACTCAGATTTAAAAAAAAAAAAAAAAAATGCACAGCATGAATTCCATTAATCCTGTGCAAATAAAACGACCAAAGAGTCTATTTTTTTCCTTAGTTTTGTCTCTCTTAAATAAAAGTATAGAGGTAGGCTTTTCTTCTTTGTAAAACTTCGCGGACTAATAGACCTCTGCTCGGTGACTATGAGTACATTCATAAAGAGCTCAATGAGGTAGGTGTGGAGCAGAGGGTACGAGGTTTCAAGAAAAGTGAGAAATTCCCTGAGAAGGATACTCGAGAAGAGCTTACAGACAGAAGAGAGCAGCTCACTATGAGGAAGGGAAATGAATGGCTCTTTTGTTGCTTCTGATTATCCATTTGTAGAGGTCCTCGTTGAAATACATAGCGCATGACGGATTGAGTCGCGATAGCCTGAGCCAACC